GTGAAAGTAACAAATAAATCAGGATATCCAGCCCATCGACATATAGCCATAGCATCTTGGTTAATTTGTATCATATAGCGAGCTGCGTTGATAAATGTTGCTGGTAATATGACACGTTTCCCCTTTTTTGATGAATTATTTTCTCCTCTCTAATATGCTTTTGAAAGACCCTTGTACAACCTTCCTTCTGATGCATCCGAAGATATGCTAAACAGGCTGATTCAATCATACTAAAAAAATCGACCGCAAGTTGTTCGAATAGACGTTTGGAACCTAAAATTGTTCCGCTCTCAATGGCTCGCATTTGAATTCGAAATGCGATGAATTCTCTCATTGACACGTTCCGTCTCTTATTAGTCACCAAATTGCTCCTATCATTAGTGCAATGTCATCTCTGTAACCATCTTCTCCACGTGGAAACAACAACGTATACTGAAGTGGAAGATAAGCTGGACATACTATAGAGACACGACGCAGTAACCCAGGTTGTGTCTTGACAATAATGTCTCGCTCAGCGTCGGCAGAATCAAAATCACCAACTATAAGTGCTGCTACTTTAGATGCAGAAGGAAGATTGTATCTTCTAGCATCATGACTTCTCTTTCCTAAAGTCCGTAATTTGACTTCGTGTAATGTTGGACTTTCAATTTTATCTCTGACCATTCTGTAAGACTGCGCGTACGGATTGTACTGATCGAGCATATCCTTTAGATCTGTAACAATAGAATTTGATAGTTCATTCGAACTTGATTCCATCCTATAACGAAAACACTATATTATTTGTTGTTAAAATCCCTTATAATAGATATGTGATGGTGGTTGATCCAATGCTTGTAATTTTTTACCGATGGCCAGTAATTCGAGCGTTCCCGCTGTTTGGACTAACAATGAAGTTACAAAGCATGTATGTTTTTCCTTCCTTCAGTATAGATTTGAACGTATTCATATGTTGCTTTTTGATGCTGGCATGTACCTTGCCGCCCTACCATAAGTATATATAATGTATATATAAATTATCAACAATATACAAATATTTTGTAGACGTAATTAAAATAAATAAATAAATTAAAAAAAAACGTTTTGCATATCACCTTGGAATCCATGAGCAGCATATATATCAAGACTAACAATTACATCTTTGTTGTCATAATGCGGAACAAACCACAACATTACTCGTAAAATAACTCTCCGAGCCATTGTAGTGGGACTAAGGTCAACAATGTTTGTGATATTGGAAGCCATTATAGAAATCCTACAAAAGTTTCAGGATATATAGATTAAAAAGTGAATGAGGGTGTGAGAATGAAATATGTATGCATATATATATAGAAAAGCCAATGTTTCGGTTGTTTTATACATGGTAACTACCTAAGTAGTGGGAGAGTGGATAGAAAATTTATTCTCTAAAAAACAACTATGTAAATATAAAAACCGGCATGTAGTGAAGTAGTGGGGTGCTATGGGGGTTACGTGTGCTATATATAGTGGGTGGTATGAGTAGTTACAATTGGACGTGGAATTTAATGTATGTACGGAAACTTACTTTTATCACACTAACTTTTTTTTAATTATAAAACTATTTAATCTGATTTTTGAAAATTAGATTACCGAACTTTTTTTTTAAGAAATCAAAGTTTATTAAGAATAGGAGTTATCGTCATAACATAGAAGTTTATTAAAAATGTCAGTATTTGATTTCTTAAAAATTAACTCCTATTTAATTAATTATAAACACAAGTAAATTTATTTTTTTAATTATAAAGGTTTTTTATTTGATTTCATAAAAATTAAAGTTGTTCATGTTTAGAATGCATTCTTCGGACCTCGATAACCCCTATAAATTTTATTTATAAAATTCTTAGTGATAACGAAAGATGAATTAGCGGCGTTAATATATTATATTAACGAAATTAAATATATTATATTAATCAAATTATATTATATTATGTAACATCAGAATTTATTTGCCTATATAGTAATGCATATAATTTTTTTAAGAGAACTCTTCGAATTTTTATCTAATAAGATCTAATTAAAAGGAAAAAGGAAAAAAAATATAAAATTATGTAAATAATAATTCGTTGGACAAGAATAAATGGAGAAAAGAAAACGAATATCTGATGTTTGTTGTCTAAGAAAACATTAAAATTGCATTAATCAAACTATTTACATTGGTGATGAAAATATAACAATAAAAAAACACATTTCATATAAAATAAAAATATAACAATAAGAAAACACACTTCAATTGTATGTTCCAGTAGAAAACAATTGATAAAAAAAAAAAAGCAAATCTAACTGTGCAAATTTTACAGACCCATCTCCAACCGAGATTATCAAAATCAAGTGGACCCGCCACCATTGCTTGCACACATTGTCGGTGCATTGCGGTGAGATTGCAATGCGTGCAACGCACCAACTCATACGTTCTGGCACGCTCCAAACAATGGTCACAATATATGCAGCTTAAAAAGAACTCGTTCGCTGAGATTTCCTCACAATCTGACCGATTATGTGAGAAATTTGAATCAGATTCTTCTTTCACAAATACATCAGTGGATTGTACTGTAGAGAAATCTGTTTCAACGCAAGGTTTCCCGCGAAGACGTTGGAACACCTTGCCAAGCAATGCGACCAATATTGCAATAATTATTGTGCCTCCAACGTTAACAGACGGTAACCCGTGAAGTGATAAAAGATATTGAGTTTATAAAATAAAAAAATAAATGGCACAAATTTAATGAAAACCAAAAATACCATGGTCAACCAAACAATAAAAGAGATGAACATTACGTGAAGGCATATGGCTATCATACGGGGAGTCATTGTGCACGGAAATTATGCATGAGTTGTACAAAAAAAAAAATCAAAATCGTTAACAACTATTATGTGACGTGAAAATTTAAAAATCTGATATAAATAAATCTAAATAAAAAATATTGTATTGTTTACATGTAGAAATCAATTGGTTACGTTGAAAATAATTTGTGAGGATGAAGAAGAACAAAATTTTAAATGAACAAGAAGAAGAGGCTTGGCAAAAAAAAATTGTGATTTTTTATAGCGTTCTCGGGAGTTTAAATAGAACAATGAAATTGGTAATGAGTTGAGATCATAGTGTGATGATGAGTTAGTGGGTGGTTAAAGAGGAGAAGGAAAAAAAAATTTAACACGGTATATACAAAATATAGGGGAATATTAGAAACATGGGGTCCAAAAATATAGAGGTTAAGAAACATCGTGATTTTAGTTTTTACTGGAGAAGAGTTTAAAGAAATAATTACCTTTTAACTTTTAGTTTTTTTTTTTTGTTTTTTTTTTGCAATTTATTTATCTAAATGCTAAATCCCACACTATTTTTACCAAATCATGCACATAACTAAATATATTTCTCTCTCTAAAATCTTCTCTTCTCATTCCCTATTCTTCTTCTTTTTCCCTAACTTTTTCACAAAATCACACAGTAAAAACATCCTTAGCATTCCAAGTTTGAATTTGACAAAAAAATTCACATGTTCAAACTAAAAGAAAGTTGGAATTTGAGGAAAAAAATCGAATTCATATGAATTTGAATAATTAAAAAACTTAATGAAATTGAATGTATATTAAATAAAACGGAACTCTTTTTTTTATGATTATTCACGTTAAAAAGTAATGAATTTTGAGTGACTTGGATAAAATCATTTTAGAGAGAAGTTAGAGAAAATTTGAGTAGAGGGAGATTTTTTTTTTTTTTAATTTATGTGTGGGATTTAGTAAATTTTAGTGTAGGATTTAGCACACCCCTTTATTTATTTGTTTATCATGTGATTATTCAATTTATATTGGTATCCGTAGACCATGAAATAAGGAAGTTTTTTTTTTTTTTTGTACTTTCGTCGTGTATTCAACTCAATTTTTTACAAAGTGGACGGTTACATTTTTTATTTTATTTATTGAGAATAATTTTAAAAACAAACTATCAAAATAGGAAAATGACTAAAATCCACTATGTTTAGTTTTTAGGGTTATAGGTCAAAATATCTTTCTTTTATAAGATATCATAAATACCATTCAAATTTCTAATCTATCACTCACTTATATTCGTTTATTCCTCCTTTCTTCTAAGGTTTTTTTTTTTTTTTTTTTTTCTCTTCTCTTCGCAATGAAACCTAAAATGGTAAAACAAGATTCTATCAATCGTCTATTTTGAATTAGTTTCTGGACAGATTGTATTGTATGAAAAGTAACCTATTTTTCCAATTTTAATCCACCAAAAAGGACAATATCAAAAATCACTTTTTTTTTTCCTTTTCTATAAACGTTCTTAATCTATTTTTTTCAAGAACGTGAATTTCTACTCCTTTTGACCTTCTGTTGTTTTTCTCTGACGAAATTACCATCCACTTAAGGTGGAGAGGGTGGGATTATGTGGTAATGATTCTTGTTGAAAATAGTAGAGTTTTTTTGTGAATATTCTAATTAATTTGGTAGTGGACAATTTATAAATTTAAACAAAATATGGGTAAAAGAGAAAATTAGGTAAAATAGGAAATAAATTTAATTTGGTGATGAAATACGATATTTTGAGGGTGGAATCTCAAAAATTAAATATGGTATTTAATTATTATTATTTTTATTTTGTAACAAGGTGTATACTTAACTAACCCAAATTTATTTCACTGACGTATCTATTTACAATTATGTCCTCCTAGTAAAATAATTGCATATGTAATTTAATGTTTACTCAAAACAAAATAAAATAATCTCATATATATACAAAATATATTTTGACCTGCAACCCTAAATGTAGCCCTAGGGGTAATATTGTAATTTTATATTTAGGTAGTTATTTTTTTCCTCAGTTATTATTTTTAATTATTCAAAATTTCCGACAATTTTTATTTCCCTCTTCTTAACACTTGTTTCTTGGGTTTATTAAGGACACGATAATTGTTTTGACTCATCGCCGAACCCTAACCCTAGCTGCCCATCTCCGTCTTTTGCCCTCTTCCGGCGGCATGCAGCCACCGGACCAGCCGCTGGCGCCTCCAGGGCAGCAACCCCGTCCCTCCTTTGCAGCCATGCTGACCAGCCAAATAACAACTTCACCTCCCCGCCTAGTCCCCGTCGCTTTAGCCCCTCGCCCCACCTCGTCTGTTGAACAAGCCCCGGCGGTGTTCTTCTCGGCAATGGAAATCGACCAACTGAATCGGCAGGTAGACAATACACTGATCATGAAATTCTCGGCAGGCCGCCCAAGTTTACAAGATATCCGTACACACATCAATACGGAATGGAATCTAGTGTCGGAGCCAGCTATAGGGTTTTTAGATCCAAGACATATCACGATTCATATGGGCTCGACTCAAGATGCAAAGCTCGCCCTTTCACGCAATTCGAATAATATAAAGAATTGTATGTTCCGACTTTTTCGTTGGACACCAGAATTTTCTATAGGCAAAGATAGTAGCAGGGTTGCGGTTTGGGTTCGTCTCCCTAAGTTACCGCTCCCATATTTCAACGTCTCATCTTTGGAACGAATTGGAACAGCGCTTGGTAATGTCTTACGAGTGGATGATAGAACGCTGGCTTTTACACACACACATTACGCGAGAGTTTGCATAGAGGTTAACGTTGCAAAGCAATTGCCGAAATCGATATTTATAGGTACATCCAAGGAGGATGGGTGGTGGCAAAAAGTCGAGTATGAAGGTAATCACATGTACTGCTCTCATTGTGGGTTGTTGGGACATCTGGTTGGAGCATGGAGGAAAAAACAAGGGTTACCGAAACCTCCTAGCAAACCAAAACCGTTGGGGCAGAAACAACCTACTCGTATATTGCACCGAGGTGAGACCGATACTACTCAGGATGAGGCCGGTCATATCCTTGCAGCTGATTCTAACCCAAAATCCATATCAAGGAAGTCGAAAAATACCAAGATTCCACTCCCTACCACGTCTGGTACAACTGCTGGTTATCAGGTAGACACCGGGCTAAACTCTAAGCACAAGACTCAAGACGGTTTAAACCTTACTCAACACGTTGACGGTGCTTGAGACTCAACATGCCACGTAGATGAGACGCAAAATACCCACAATTCCAACACTGATGCTGGTGACATACAACAACCATCCATGCAAGCCCACTTCCACGAAGCGGAACGGACTTTAGAAAACTCTTCCCTAAGTCCAACAATCAATAAAGAAATGAGAGACGATTCAATTGCAGTCGAAAATCAGTTTGATGCATTACATTTGGTAGGTGATACGAATTTGACCCTTGCAATTTACCATTCCGATGGGGAAAAAGATGACGAAACAGGTGTATCCATGTCTCCGAAATCGGACAATGAAGTCCCTGTACGAGCTTCCGGAAATAAAGTTCTAAACCCTAATAGTAGGTATTTTATCCCACCTACTGATCGAGTTACCAGATATCTAGCAAAGTTCTCTGTCAATCCCCAAGTTTAATCATGTCGTGTTCGATTTAGAAAGCGCGCGGGGTCTGTCCACAATCTAAAGTTAATCATATAAAAACCCTCGTTTTTCAACAATGGGTCAACTTATTGGTGATATTAGAACCGAAACTTCCCACGGCTAGGCTGCACAATTTTGCCTGGAAATTATGTTTTCCCTCATACTTACACGGTGAGGATAAAAACCAATACATATGGATACTATGGAAAACCGAGATAGATGTTCAATGCCTGAATATTTTTGAACAAGCTATCACAGTTTCTATTACCACTCCTAGTAAACCGCCCTTCACAGCTTCCTTTGTGTATGCTAGTTGTTCTCACCGTTCAAGGAAGGATCTTTGGGCTGACCTCTCTGATATGAATGAAGTTATCTCGGATCCTTGGTTTCTGGGTGGTGATTTTAGATGTGTCGGAAAAGAAAGGAGGCTTGAATGACGCTACAAGACTCCATGATTTCCATAATTTTGTTATTCAATCGGGTCTTCTCGATGCAGGGTTCATAGGAAGCCCGTTTACTTGGAGCAACAACCGACATGGTAATAATCGGGTCTGGAGCCAATTAGATAGAGTGTTGGTTAACTCTGCTTTCCAGCTCCGATTTCCAACTTTGAAGGTGGTACACCTTGACCGCTCTCTATCTGACCATGCTCCATTGTGCATGTATTTCGAGTTGCCCCAAGCTTCAGTCTATAAGAGTTTTATGTTTCAACGCATGTGGATTGACCACCACTCTTTCCACGACGTGGTTCGGCAGGCATGGGATATGCCCGTGCATGGCTCCTTGTTTTACATGTTCCACCAAAAACTTTCTAATGTGGGAAGAACACTCAAGAAATGGAACTGGGAAACATTTGGAGACATTCATAAGAATATCCGTGAATGTCAGATTCGTATTCAAGGGTTTGAGGATAATCTTCAGCAAAATTGGAGCGAATTGGTGGATAATAAGCTTATTGTGGAAAAAAAACAGCTTGTCCAATTGGAGGAATGGGAAGCGGAGATGCTCAGCTCTAAGGCGAGGATTGCATGGGAGAAAGATGGTGATCGAAATACAGCCCTTTTCCACGCGAGCATTAAAGATCGACGAAAACGATCATGTACCCAAGTTGCTCGTTAGGATGGCTCAATTACTACACATCCTCAAGATATTGGTCCCATTGCTGAAAATTTCTTCGCCAATTTATTTTCAGCCTCAGATTACTATATGAACGAGGACCTTTTTCACGGAGTGCCTACTTTGGTTAATGCTGATCTTAATGTAGATTTTTGCCATATTCCGAGTATGGACGAAATCTATGATGCCGTCAAAGGTTTGAATCCATCGAGTACTCCAGGTAATGACGGATTTACAGGCCACTTCGACGTAGCCAGTTGGGAGATCATTAAGTACGACTTAAATAACTTTATTGGCGACTTCTTCCGAGGAGGTTATATGCTTAAGGAGATGAATAGAACCATCCTGGTTTTGCTGCCAAAGACCGAAAGAGCTCGGAATATTGCCGATTACCGCCCCATTAGTTTATGTAACTTCTCTGGAAAAATTATCTCCAAAATTCTCGCTACTACATTGGGGAAAATTTGACCTCTTCTTATTTCGGATGAACAAGCGGGATTTGTTCAAGGCCGGCAAATCACCACTCATATTGTTTTGGCCCAAGAGCTGATCCGCGACATCAATCGTAAATGTAAAGGAGGGAATGTTGTTTTTAAATTGGATATGGCCAAAGCATATGACCGATTGGAATGGCGGTTTCTCTTACGAGCCATGCGTTCCTTTGATTTTTCTCATGCAGCGTATGACCTTATCTATCGGAATATTTGTGGTATCTGGTACTCGTTCCGAGTCAACGGTAATATTGTAGGTAATTTTAAATCGACTCGAGGGGTCCGCCAAGGAGATCCGCTATCTCCACTCCTATTTATCCTAGCACAACAAATTCTAACGATCAATATCTCCAAAAAAATTGAAGCTAATCAAATTCAACACTATAAAGTGGGGAAAAATGAATTGGCAGTTTCCCACTTGCTCTATGCAGATGATATCCTCATCTTTACTAATGGGGGGCAGCAATCTATACAAGCACTTAAGAACGTTTTTACGGCCTACGAGAAGTCCTCTGGTCAGTTAATCAACACAAAAAAGAGTCATCTATATGTGGGAAAGTGGGCGGAGTCTAAGTATACATGTATCGAGCAGTTAACTGGGATTCGTAAGAAAGACCTACCTCTAATGTACCTTGGAGCGCCAATTTACTCGGGGAGAAGTAAAGTCGAGTACTTTGAATATCTTGTTCAGCAAGTCCGTCGAAAAATCCAAGGATGGAAAGGCAAGCTCCTTTCTTTTGCGGCCAAAATCACGCTACTTAAATCGGTACTTTCCAGTCTTCCGATTTACACATTAGCATGTTCGAAAGTCCCAGCACTAGTTCTTAACCGTCTCGAACAGCTTATGGCTTTCTTTTTATGGAGCTAGGGTGGTGATGTCCGTACTCATTGGGTTAAATGGTCCACGGTTTGTACACCAATGGAGGAAGGTGGATTGGGTATTCACCCAATTAAACAAGTTATGAGATGCCTGCATGGAAAACTTTTATGGCAAGTGATGAAAGGTGACTCATTGTGATCTCGTTTTGCCAAAGCCAAATACTGTGATAAGAGGATTAATATTAATAGGCGGACGGCGTCTGCCCTTTGGAACGCAATTCACAGCCATACTGATACTATGGAGGAATGCACTCAGTGGATCATGGGTTGAGGAGCGATCAAATTTTGGTCAGAGAATTGGCTTGGTGAACAACTCACTGGACCATTGCCATGTGATGCTCGTCTCACGGTAGCTGAAGCTCTCACACATATCGAGGATTACTTACCAATAATCCCCACCCATTGGCATGACAAGATTCGACAGATTATTAGGAGACCTTAATAGTCCTGATCGATTGATTTTTACTCTCACTCAAAATGGTGAATTCTCAAGCAAAGCATACTGGGATCATATTAGGGTTATAGGTCGTCAACATCAATGGGTTGATCGTATTTGGAGCAAGTTCATAACACCTAAAACTAGTGGTTTTATGTGGAAACTGATGCATCATGCGTTGCCGGTGGATCAACGTATAATATCGAGGGGAATCCCTATCGTCTCTAGATGTGTTTGTTGCCAAACTCCCAAACAAGAAGACATAAATCACGTGTTCTTCAATTCCGAGGTGGCTAGGTAGGTGTGGCAGCAATTTGGCTCCATCTTCCACCTTCAAGATCAGTTTTCGTCGGCAAAACACGCATTAAATGTGTGGATTCCAATGCCCAAGAATCTGTCCTTCTACAATATGGTTCGTGCCTCGGTGGCCTGCATGCTACATTCTTCGAGAACTTTGGGTTGCTCGATGTAAGGTGGTGTACGACAGCGGTAAGATGACAAGTGTCGATATTATCTGTAGAGTTTTTTATCACGTCCGGAGCATGGGCATGGTACATGTGCCAACGCAGCCTTCCACGAAAAATCAACGGTTACAAATGGAGGCTAGGGGTTTTCGATTTTCTCCAATACCAGTGAAACGCGGGGGGTGGTATAAATGGGAATATCCGAGCATTGGAGAATACAAACTTAATACGGATGGTTCGGCTACGGCAGAGCACTGTACTGGTGGAGGTATTATTCGAGACTCGGAAGGACATCTTGTTGCTGGCTTTTCTACATTCTTTGGCACGGGTTCAAATAACTATGCGGAATTCCTAGCAGTAGTTCATGGGCTGAGATTATGTAAATTGTTGGGAGTTACTTCGGTTACGGTTGAATCTGACTCCTTGTTGGTCATAAACTCCATTGGGACCAATACGGTTGCCTGGGATCTTGCATACGTTCATCGACTTTGCATCCAGGAGGTCGATGCTACGTTCCGTTTTCAGCATATATTTCATCAAAAAAATATGGTTGCTGATCGACTTGCAAATCAAGTCAAGAGTTTTTTGCCGCCTCTAACTTACCGCCGGAGGTGAGGGCTGCCTATACTTGTGACAAATTGGGAATAGCGAATTTTCGCATTTGATGAGTGCTGGAGGCTGAAGTTTCGACATGATGCACTCTATTACATTCTGGTCCTTTTTGGGGGCGAATTCGCAATATTCAGAAGTGCTGCGCTGGGTGCTTCGGTCAGTCCTCCTATGCTGGATTAATTATAGATAACCCACATTCCAGGGGCTAACAACAATAATACAAACTTTCATTGGGTTTCTAGAATTAGCACTTGTAGTTTCTTTTCTTTCACTTTTTACCCCATTTTGGGGCTGTTTTGTAATAGTCTAGCTAGATTAGACACAGATTTTGTATTACCATTGTAGGGGTACTATTTTTCCTTGTGTTAGGCCCACAAGGTTTTAACGAGGCCCCCTTTCGCCTATATTTAATGGAATAATAAAATCTTTTTTGGGCAAAAAAACAAAAAGGACACGATGACAAAGTTTTATGCAAAATCGTTCATATTTCGTTGGGATTATTTGACAAAACCCCCTCATATGACATTTCCTCTCGGAAATGCTATTCGCGGTTGCGTTTTTGCTATTCGCGGTTCATAAAAAAAACTCTCTCTCTCTCTAAACCTCCAAAAACCCAAAAACCGCAAATAGCAAAAAAAAAAAAAAAAAAAAATCGAAATCTCGAATTCAAGCAAAAACAACCATTGGGCTTCGATTTTTTGAGGTAATTTCGACTAATTTCCGTAAAATATGCATTGCCCATGTTGTTTACGCAACCAATTTCATGTTTAAAGCCCCTACAAATCGAATTGTAGGGGCTTTTTTATTTTCGAAAATTACAAACTGTACGCCCAAGTTGGGCGGCCAAAGGG